CAGCGGCGCACTTTAGAACTAAAACACCTTGGAGGTGCTTTAGTTCAAAAGCACGCCACTGCCACTTTCTGTGCGCTCATGCACATTTTGCCATTTATACAACTGCACGTGGTGCAGTGCAGTTTGCCTCAGCTCGTGTGTGAAGCAGACTTAATTAATCGAGTCTGCTCCGAAGTGGAGGATCTCTGGCATATCACTGGGAAAAAAGTATGTGTATTAATGCCCATACATTTGGAACCTCTGCCACAGACCATACAAATCTCTGATTGGACTATTCAGTCACATGAGACACTGCAAACCATCTACACCATAGGCTGCAATATCCACCATCTCTCACAGAGGAAGGGATTCCAATCACAATCACGAGGCTTCTGTTATGAAACAAATGAGATAAGATGTGAGATAAGAAAAGAGCTGCTGATTAGTCCACGATCAGAAAAACTCTCACCTGGGGGCTGGGGAGAAATTGTCCACAGGTGAGAATGGATAAAGGCTTGCTCTGAAGCCAGGAAGACAGTGGAGGAACATATCCCTTTTTTGTTTGGGGTTTTTTTTGCATCCCAAGGTGGGAGGTGTTGTGTTAAGGCAGGAGCCAAATTTTTAGTTTGATATCTCACTGGTGGCTTGGGTTTAGGAGTGTCAGGGGAAGGTGGAGGTCACAACAGTGCCCAAAGGCATGGGCAGGTCTCAAGACACACAGCAGGCCTAGCCAGAGAACTGGAGCTTGGTGAAAGTGGCTGAAGCCTAGCAAGGGCAAAAGCAAGGCAGGGCCAGGGACCCAACAGCTCAGGAGTGGCAAAGACCAGGGCCAGGGGCCCAGTAGCCTGAGAAGGATAGAAACCAGAACCAGGAGCCCAGCAACCCAGAAGGGGCAGAGACTATGGCTAGGGGCCCAGAGTAAGAGATACAGGGGCCAGAGGCCCAGAGATACTTATGACTAAGGGCTGAAGCTGAGAGAGCTAGATCTGAATCAGTGGGCCAGGGCTGTAGGCTTGCAGCCAGAGAAAAGGGGTGGAGGCAGAAAAGACCGAGGTCCCGACAAGGGAGTGGTTGTAGACTGACATCTGCAAGACATGGGTGTGTTGTAAGTGGCAGTTGGAGTCACGTAATAAGCCCTTAAGGCACTGAGTAATGAGACTGAAGCTCAGGAGTGAATGAGATCTTGCTCATGGATCCCAAGGGCAGCCTCCCTTTCTAAGTACTTATTTACATAAAGGCGTTGCAGAGGAGGAGGAGGAGACCAAGGACATAACACGAGCAGGATGACCGCCAGGGGACATCACCACCAGCCCCGGAATCCTTGCCTGTTACAGCCTGCAAAAAGTTCAACAAGTGGTTAAGTGCTTTGCTGAATCACTCCCAATCTCTCCAGTTACTTCCTCTGAAAATTCCCTTGGAGGTGTTTCCAGGGTTGAAACAGACTTTTCCTGCTTAGATGTAAGGATGCAAAACCTGTTTTCATATTTAATACAGTTTTGACCCACCAGCAGTGACATTGTATTGCTATGTTTAAAAAAGTTACAAATAAATAATATCCTACTAAAATGGTATTAATTTGATCCATTTTAAAAACTGGGACTGGCAAAAAGTATACCTGAAATGAACAATCTAGATTACATAATTTTATTTCACTGTCCTTCTTTAACCTGTTTGGCTATTTATTGTCTAGCTTAAGTTCTACTTCTGCAAACAAACATATATAAGTAGATCCTACCACCATCACAGTGTGCCAGAAAAGTAAAAAGAACTCTAAATAGGCATGGAGGTCTGTCTGTGTGCTAAAAGTGCAAGGTCAGACCCTAAGATTGTAAATTCTTCTAACAGGGATCCATATACATTTATGGCAATGTATAAATGACATCAAAATATTTGGGATTGTAGAAATATTTGGCATCCGTTGCATTTCTATGGCTCCAAAGGCACATGCTCTCAGAGTAATGTTTCCTCCGTCATCAGAACATTTAATCTAATCTGAATTTGAATTGTTCTAGAAAAATAAAATGATATTTTAATGTAGCTATATTTTGCTTGAGACAAAGATTTCTTTTTTGTGTTTTGGATCTAAAACAAACATTTATCATAACCTGCCACTGTATAATTCCACAGTTATAGAGACAAATGTTACTTGGAACTCCTTCCATAATTCCTTCTGTAGATGAGGATGGAAACCAATATCTCAGGTACTGAAATGAGAGCCAGGACTCTTCACAGTGAGCTGCTGGTATGTTTATAAATAGAGCTGTTATGTTCTAGATGATTTTCAGAACAGACAAATCTAATGCTTCCAAGCAAGTCTAATGCTGAAATTTACCCAGGAGACTACAGCACATCATTTTCTGAATTTATTAATAAAAATGATCTTTTTTTTTTTAATGTTAATCTATTTACAATCAGTGAGAAACTTTCCCAGAGTGCAGGGAATGCAAGATGGAAGTAATATTTTTTCAGCTAGGATAAACCTAGCATTTCTAAATAAAAAGGAGGTAAAATCCATGCTTTGGCCTCACCCCAAAGCGAAAACCATTTTAAAAACATCTTAAACTTCTACAATCCCCAATTAGCAACAGGATATTTACTCATTTTTGGCTTTTTGGGCCAGAGCTAGGTATGTTGTAAAAAAGAGAAAAGAGTATTATTATCTGAATAAGAGTTTCTAGTGGTATAACCAGGGGTGGATCCACAGGGGAGTACTGGAGCATTTACAACCCTCTTTGATTCCTGCTCCACCCACAGTTTAAGACTGACTGCCTGGCCATGTCAGCAACATTTCTAGTCAGGTAGTGCAGACGGAGTCTATTGACTTCATAGCTCATTATAATCTGGGATCCCTTGTAAACTCTTCATTCTACAGGTGTTAAAGACTCTCTCTCCTTTTTAATGATCTTGAGGTGCCACCAGTCAAGCTATCCTTTCTTTTTCAATTCTGCTCTCTGTTAGCTGCTCCTAGTAATGAAGTTCTTATTTCACAGCCCTTCAGATTTTTTCAATTTATTCCAATTAAGTTATATTTCTTTTTGCTTCAGCCTAAATTGCATAATACAGCCTTAGGACCCTATCATATTAGTAAACCTTCTAGTTTATTTTTAATGGTAGAAAATATGTGTTGTTATATATGTGATGCACATCAGCATCTGTACTCCCCTTTTCAAAATTCTAGATCCACCCATTGGTATAAATGCTGTAGAAAAAAATGGAGTTAAGTCCAATGCATTATACAGTGTATTAACATTAAGCATCCAGATCAGCAGGTCAGGGTAGTACAACAGCTATCTAAAGCAAAGCAGGAAAATGTGATGTCTACCAAAAATACAGACCAGGATGTTTAGGCTACCCTAAATGATCTTTTAAAGTGTGCATCTTTTATTTCTTTTGTTTTTAATTTTGCTTTAACTTGGTATTTTCTAGCTTTTGATAAAAAGCTACAACTTTAATTTTATTATGAATTCTTTTATATATAAACGTGTACTATATAATAATACATTTTTTGATCTTTGTAAAGATTGTAGTATATTCTTAATTTTTTGCTTTTATTCTGAAATACACAGATGGAAATTTAAGACGCTGGAGTTTAGATCTTTTCTGATTTGAAAATCTCTAATCAAAAAGTATATTTTAAAATATATATGTCTTGTGAGACAATTTTTGCTTTGCACAATTTTGCAGGAGGCTGATTTAGGATTTAAACATATTAGTTGTTAAGTAAGTAACAAGGTAACTTTAGTCACAAATTCTAGAGCATTATGCTCCATCACACTGAAGCATTATAATGAATACAATCTATCAATGCAAAACAGTATTCATTGTCATGAGAAGCTGTAGGATGCAGGTACTGATAAAATTTGAGAATAAGACAAATCCAAAAGTCAGCCGTGAGAAGTAGATGTAACACATGAAAACATACCCAATATAACACATGAGAATTAAACTGGCAATCTTCCTGGACTTTCCAGGACAGCCCTCAACTTCAGGGCTATCTATGTCTTGGTGACCCAGAGCGCTTCCTGAAATGGAACTTTATTCCTGACAATGTAACGCTGGTCCCATGTCAGTATCAGGCAGAATCCAGATCAGGACCTGCATTTGAAACGGTTGGCAACTGGGCCTCTTGTGGTTTTACCATTTACAAATACAGGAAAGTCAAGTCAGTCCCAAGGCTGCTGAGCGCTTAAGGTTGCCCAATGGTCACAGAGGCCTCAGGACTGACTCAACGTGATTTACCTGTACAGTATTTGCAAATGGTAAAACTGCAAGGAGCCCAGTTGCCAAGAACTTTAGAGCCACTAAAAAGAGCCCTCTGTGGAGCATCCAGGACTGTCCCCAAGTTTGCTGCTTTACCCAAGCCAGGTATTACACAGTGGCTGGGGTTTCATGCTGAGGGTTTCCAACACTTGTGTGATCCTCTTTTAGGGGAAAGTTGTTAGATGCTGCTTCTGCTGCCTTTTCCCTTCCACGATTAAACACAGATTAATTTATCATATATGTAATGGGCAATTATGTATAACTTGTGATTTCTTGCACTCCCTGATGTCTTGTCCGCTAAGCTGCAAATGGTTTAGGACCACTGGAAGTAGTCCTATAGAAATCAATGGCACTTAAGCATATAAGTAAATGTTTGCAGAATTATTGTGCTTGTATGCCAAGCTGAATAAGTGATCTCCAAATGATGTTTTGTAAAGACCATAATAGATCAAGTTGGTCTAATAAAAGATGTCAGATTCACCCAAAGAACTTTGTCTGCCTACGTCCTTAGACCAACAGGGCTACAACCTGAATCCCTGGAAAGATCATAATATATTCTTCATTTTTTGCGGTTTTTTGTAATGCACAGATGGAAACTTAAGACACTGGAGTTTAGATCCTTTCTGATTTGGAAATCTCTCATTGAAAAGTATGCATTAAAATAGACGCATATACTCAGCCCCCAGCTCAGTTGCACAATGGGAGGGGCCGCGGCGGAGGCCTGGTCCCACCCCTGGAACATTGAATCACCCAGGCGCGACCTTATTTGCATGGTCGGAGACGATTGGCTCCGACGCGTTCGGCGTCTCCGCTGCGGCTGGGGTTCTCTTCTTCGGCAAGGCGCAGGTCGGGCTCTCTCGCTTTCGCCGCTGCGCTTCCAACATGTCGGAGCCCCACGGCCTCTCCGATGAAGCAGCCTACAGCGCCTGCTCCGACCCGGATCCCAGCACCAAGGTGAGAAGGGGTCAGGCGCACAGGCAATGCACTGGGCGCGGGCGGGGTGGCTGCCCCTCTCGCTCCGCCCCGGGCTGCGGGGCAGGGGAGCTGGCCCAATGCTCACAGACCACAGAGCCCCCTCCCCTGGGACTCGTGGAGAGGCCGGTGCAATACTACGGAAGGTCGGCTGGGTGCAGACTTGTATTTACCAAGCGTGTGTGTTAGGGCAAGACCCTAGGGGACTGTCCATTATTTTTCCCCAGTAGTCGATTTGACTCCTTTCCCTCTTTCCGTGCTTTGGTGTTCAGATCACTTCACTTTGCACACTGCTTTCTGCCGGCCTTTCCTTGCATTTCTCAACCCATGGGTTGGGACACAAAAGCGGGCTGTGAGAACATATGCAAGGGGTGGTAACAAACTTTAAAAATGGATTCTCCTTTAAGGAGAAAAGCGTGGGAAACCAGGGCTTTTCCCTTGCAGGCTGGCAGAGCTCCCACTTGCCAAGGGCTGCCTGGGGCCCCCCTGCCCCACAGACCTACCCCTTGCCTCACACACTGAGGGGCTGAGGCCTGGGGGTGGGGGGCAGCTGCTTGGGAGTGATAGACGCTGGGTTGGCACTGGGTATTGATGTTTATAAATGGGTCCTGGTGCAAAAAAGGTTGAGAACCACTGGACTAGAGTGAACTCCAGTTCATAAGAGCTTTTGCTGTCTCTAGATCTGACTTAGCTAGTGCCCCTCTACCCTGCCTTCTTCCTGGCTTCAGACTTGCAGGGCTCCTATACATATGCAGGGAGTCTGCTCCAACACGCTGGAATTCCTGCGTGTTGAGTCTGCCAGAATATGGAAATTACTGTGCTCCAGCAGACTCCAGCCTTGCATGTATCAGCATCCCCGTGCTGAAAAATGGCGGTGGGGTGCTTTAAATTATAAATCATCCAACAAGCTTTAGTTCAAAGTGTCACACCGCCATTTTTTCAGTGTGGGGACGCTGACCCACATGAGGCTTGGGGCACTCTTAATTAGTACAGCCTTCCCCCCACATATAATCCCCCCCCCCCCCCCCCCCCCCCCCCTTTTGGAGCATGTCTATGACAGCTGCACCAGGCTCTAGAGCCCCAGCACCGGTTCCATGGCAGCAGTGACTGCACGCATGCCTTGGGGTGCAGGGCGGGGAAGGGGCCAGGGCAGTGTAACCCCAGCCTCTCCCCTGCCATCCGCCTGGGGACATGCATGCAGCTGCCACCAGCAGCAAGGATTGGGTCCCTTGTGACTCCCCCCATAGTGTGCCCCTGGTGTGCCAGCTCGAGGTGTAGGTCAGGGTTGGGATGTTTTTGGCACTCCAGCCAAAAAAGGTCCTAACTCCTGGAGCAGAGATTATAAAGTAGGGTTGGCAAGCCAGTCAATTAATCAGTCAGATATTGTCAATTGACTGCATATTTTTTTTGACCAGTCAAAGATTATAGCAATTTTATGGCGAGTGAATTTTTGTTTGCAGTTTTCTTGACAGTATGATTAAAAAAAAATTTTGACATGTTCTTAATGCAAAAGTTGTGCTTTTTCTGTGTATTATTTGACTGTACTGGCAATTTTTTACAATTTTTGACTGACATTTGACCAGTCAGTTGACCAAATTTTATTTGATGGGTCAAATACCCAACCCTCTTATGAAGATGATTAAAAATACTGGCCTTCCTTATGTATATCCAGCTTACCAAGAGGATGAAGGGGCAAAATCTAGGATAGTTTATCCTCCAAACAGGTCCATATGAAGCTCTACTGAGTAAAGGAATAGAAATGCATGTGACGTGGTCAAGCTCGGAGGTGCTCAACCTCTGGCCCATGGGCCAAATGTGGCCCATGGAGCCATTGCATCTGGCCTGCGGGGCTGCCCATGGGTCAAGAAATTTGACAGTGGGGGAGTGGTGGCCATTAATATAGCTACCCTCCCCTTGCCAAATTCCCACCCTCCAAGCACCATGAGCCCAAATGGAGCCAGGTCATGGCCCCTTCTCCTTCGGGGCTGGGTTGGGGCCAAGGCCATGCCCCCTCTTCTCTGGGGGTGGGCTGGGGCCAAGCTATGCTACTTTCCCCTCCTGGGCCTGAGTCAAGTTCCTCTCCCTCTTCCCCCACACTCCCTCCCTGGGGCCAGGTGAAGCCCCCTTTCTCTCTCCCCTATAGGACCAGGCTCAGGTCAGGCTGCTCCACATCAGAACCTGGATCAGAACCACCATCTGGCCTGCAACCAGGCACAGCTCATCCAGCCCTCATCTAACTTGCTTGTTTAAATGAAAATGTTAAATAATAAAAACAAACTGTGGCATATTTACCATTAGTAAGGGAAAAACAATTTATATGTAACACCAATCATTTTTCCAGTATATTATTCATTAATTATGTGAGCCCTGTTAGTGTTTTAAGGTAATAAACTATCATATTGTGTACTGTATATGACTCTCTAACTTTTGGCTCAACTAATTTTAACAGTACCCTTCTAAATTATTTCCAATAAAAAGCCAACCTCCTGTACTTTATTTGTCATCTTGTTTAATGTGCGTTCATGAATTATGGATAAATGTAAAACAAGTATAATTTTTCCATAGGACTTTCTGATGCAGCAAACCATGTTAAGAATAAAAGATCCTACTAAGTCACTGGATTTTTACACAAGAATTCTTGGAATGACGTGAGTAAAACTTAAAAGGGATAAAACGTTTTGGTTTAGATCGGTGATTCTCAGCTAGGTTGCTGCGAGATCCTTTCAAGGGTGTTGGGTGCTGCTCGGTGCTAGCACACTTCAGTGCACAAACATGATTCACGAGATAAACCCACAGATTTCAAATAGGAATCCATAGCATTAGAAGCATTCTCACCTGTTGTGGTGTTTCTGAATTTTTTTGCAACAAAATAATTACTCTACTTTTTGAAGTAAAAGAATGAGTGAAAACTAAGAGCTGGTATTTTCTGAGGGATGCCGTGAGCCAAGCAAGGGGTGCCCTGATCCCCAGTGGTTCTCAACCTTTTTTTCAGTCTGTTTTTCAAGAATCACAAACCTTGGCATTTAAAGCTAGTTACTAGGTATTTCATCATTATCTATCATGCAGGGAGATGACTTAAAATTTAAGTGGCAAACGGTGAAATTAAAACAGTTGTAAATGGAATGTTACAGTGGACAAAAAGTAAATTGTTGTAGGGCTTTTTGTTGTTAGCTATAGTAATTGCCAAAGCTGACTGATTATATGCTTGCTTGCTTTCACTTCTCTGACAAGGCAGTTAAGTAATCACATTTAAATTGTGAAATTGCAAACATTTTCTTGTCAATTTATTCTTGCTGTAATCACAGAACCCTGACTTAATTATAGAATAAAACAATAAGATGCTCTCTGAAGACTACTAAATGAATTCTGGGGTTGCTCTGTGTTTTTGTCTTCCTATATTCTGGGATGCTAAGAACTGGTAGTCAGTTGAGCCCTCTGCTTTAGAGAAAGCTATTGGGAGTTGAGTCCCTGGCAGAAACTGGTTGCATCCACTTTGTTTGAGCTACTATTCATTTCAAGAACCTTAAAGACATTAAAACAAGTTCTGGTAGATTTTAACACTTTGACATGTAAAAAGGGCTCCTCTAAAGTTGATAAAGGAAATATTTATGCATAAATGAAGGGCTTAAGATACAGTGGGCATAATTTAGAAATTAGCAGTGAATTAATATCTTTGGCTTGGATTTTGTGTAAAAAAAAAATGTGAAATGGTGTGAAATGGGTTTACAACAGAAAATGCGTAAGAGTATAAGACGTGTCATGTTGGATTAGACTACCAGTTCCATCTCCTAGTGACAGAGTGGCTACTAAAGAGAAGAAAATATATGCAGGACCTTTTCAGATTGATGTTTGCTTCTCGTCTTCCGTTACATCTTCCAGTATTCAGAAGTTTAGGAAATCATAATCTGGAGATTTTTTGTCATCCTAACTGTCATGTTTAATATCTACTGCTGGACCTATCCTGAATTAATTTGTCCAATCCCCTTTTGAATCTAATTGATCCACCTGTACTGCATCCTGTGGCAATGAGTTCCACAAGTTATTTGCACACCGTGTGGAAAAAGAACTTCAGGTTTGTTTTAAACCTGCTTCCTAGTGATTTAGTAGTTTATGTGGGATAAGAAATTGGATTGATTGAAATGAGCAGGCACATTCAGTTAGCTGTTCCTGCATTGCTTTCTGTGTTGTATGAAAGTAAGATATTAAAGTATATTTGATGCTGGAGTGAGATGAAATTGAAGATAGTGTCTGAAGACAAGCTCTGATTTATAAAATGTCATTAACTTCAGAAAATACAATATTAGATTGGCCTTCTGTATTTTCTTGCATACAATGCGGACCATTTTTTATCAAAAGCCAGCTGTTGGAAATTGGAATGGAAATATGGTAACAATAGTTTCTGAGCTTAAGCTTTTGCTAGGTAAAAGCAAAAGTAGTTGGAATTGCCGTTGTTCTGCTCCCTATGGATCAGGCACTGCTCCCAAACTGCTGCTACTCAGTTACTTACTACAAGGAAAGATCTTTTTTTCTTTCATTCTGCCTTTCGGAAACAAGGTACATGTCTTATTCCAGGGCATGTTGTACATGAGAAAATACAGTATTCTCTTTAATGCAGTTTTGTGCATCCAATAATAACTAATATCAAATACAACTGAGGAAAGTATACAGATTCCTGCAGCTGTTAGTAAAGAAATAAAAATTAGATTAGATTATGGGCAGGTTTTACTAACTACAGGTAGTTAGTAATTTTCTTATGCTATGATCCATAAAGGTTTTATATCCCTTTCATACTTTTGTCTAGCTACTGAAAATGTGAAATTTCTAATTCATCTAAATCCACGATTCTATTTTTAGTACTATAAATGCTATTATCAATGATATCTTATGGCTGTAAGTTCCATAGGTTAGTTTTAGTTTGAAAATAAATTCTTTTATCAGTCTTTACTGAGAATCTTGAGAGGTAAACTTAGGGGGACACATGCACAGGGCATTGAAATGTGTGCAGAGGGCATTGAATACCAGACATAGACTACAGGTTGTCTACTGGTGTTTATACAGTTGCTAATTTTAAGGTGTTCTTAACTTGGTTTTAACATGCTAATTGATTCTTCTCATGTGGTTTGTGGGATGCCATGTGCTGTCAAAAAATATTTGTATGCCATACTTCAAAACTCAGCCATTTCTAAGGTATGAGTGAGAAGAATAAATAAAGGTGCAGCAGTAACTGTAGAAGGGTTCTTGGGGAGAAGCATTTAATTTTTGTTTAACTTAACTATAGTTTAGTTGCTTCTCTTAAAAACTCATCAGTAATGATTTCTGTCATGTTATTTCTTTCTAGATTGCTTCAGAAATTTGACTTTCCTACAATGAAGTTCTCGCTTTATTTCCTGGCATATGAGGATAAAAATGACATCCCAAAAGATAAAACAGAGAAGACAGCTTGGACCTTCTCTAGGAAGGCTACACTTGAATTGACACAGTGAGTATTCACATATATATTTTGCCACTCGCCTCTGCTTACTTTTAATTGTCTTTAGTTGCAGCTATGTGTACTCAGCTTTGCATTGTGTTATCTATAGGATTTTTGTCTTGCTTTTGATTAGGGGCTGCGTAGTAGTATAGAATTACTTTATTTTCTTGCATATCTCGCATACCTTTGCGAGAAATTGGGTTGCGTCTGTTAAGCAAGGAAGCCACTTGTTTCACTGGACAAGAAGCACTCCTGAAGACACTGTGCATGGCATGCAGCTATCAAGATGGATGCTGCTTGTCCGCCCTTTCCTAATCTTTAAGAACAAGGCAAGTGATGAATACTTTCTGACTGAATAAAAAATAGTATATAAGCGTGAATGAAAACTTACCAATTTCCTAGATTTTTTTTGTTTTTTCTTAGAGTGCACTTGCTCTCTTAATATCAGTCTGTCAGTTTAGCATGTAATATTACCAATATACAAGAAAAATTTACTTTGACACACATTTCAGGTTATAACATAACATGACTATAACAGTTCTGTGAACTACCGTGTATGTTTGACTTGAAAATAAAACCTATCCAAAATGTGCTGACAAAGTTGAGTGTTACGCTAAATAAGAAAGATGCAAAGACCCATAATAGTCCACTGCCCTAATTTAGTTCAGGTACCATTTCCCTCTCCCCTCATGTTCTGTGGAGTATGGTAGATGGCTGACCCATTCAGTACACCATAACCCTAACATATGTGAAGAAGGACCCTTAGTCCAGTACTAGAAGTGCATTGTGAACACTAATAAGGCGGGACCTACCCAAACGCGGGTAGCAGAGGGGTGATTTCATGGGCTGATTGCAGCACTGGCCACCACTTTTGTGGGAATATCATGGCAGGGGCCCCCTCACACCTCTGCTTGAGGTGCCCCAGCAGTCCCTCCCCTTGCTGCAGATTGACAGATGGCCTGAAACCACTGCATAATTACCCTGATTAAGCCTGTGGGAAGCATTAATTGACCCATTATTAAGCAATCTAAACTTTCAATTAAACTCTAAACTGAAATGTCTTATGAAATTAAAGCTATACGCGCTGAATTGTAACTAATACCATTGTAATACTTTGTTAACGATGTTGTAAAAAGGAGTTTAGCAATACTCGGTGCTAACCATGAGACAGGAGGTCTAGCTGTTAAATGCTAGCATGCAGCATCCACCAGCAGTTGCTGTTGACATCCTCTGTCTCTGCAGGATTAACACATGTCTGAGATCACACTCTCACCGTTCACTGAATTGGTTGGAATGGTGAGGCAGTATTTTGCCAGGGCATACAGATGTGGAAACCAGTCACAAATAGAGTCCCAAAACAGAGGCACAGGCATCTGGCACTCTTTGACAAAGTTAATGCAAACAGTACGTTCCTTGTCACATTCTTTTTCCCCATCCAAGGATTGATTTCAGTAGCTGAGAGTCACAACACAGAACAGGCATCTGACTGGGGTCCAAAACGCAAACAGCAGTAAAAAAAGAGGAGACAGCTGGTTGTCAGAATTGTGGTGGCAGTGATGGGTCGTACCTGTAGTGCTTGTTCAGCTTCACAGTTATTCCCTGGAACAGGTCCCTTATCCACTGGCTTTTACAATGACAGCTTGACAATTCTTGTGATGCCTTATTTTTGATCCATCTTACAAATCCATCAGCTTATTGTATGCATGGTGGATCAAAGCCTGTCAGGTTTCAAAACACATCAGGAGTTGCATGAACCAGATGGCATTACTGTCACAAACTTCACTTGATCTTGAATGTGTCCCTGTTCCAAGAGATCGCATAGCTTAAGCATGCACTGTATGCCAGGTTTTGATTTCCAGCTCCTCTCACACAAATTGCTGGTAGTACTGCATATGCTTGGTATAGTAGTAGACCGTGTTGAACCATAAATTCCACCTTGTGAGCGCAGGCTCTGGTGACAGCGGCAGAGTCACATGTGGGTCCTCACTTTAACTGGTGAGGGACTCCCTGTACTGGAGTTTACAGCCTGGATGGTACTTGAAGGAGGACACCAGGCTGTCAGTAGGGAACTGTGTGCACCATATGTCACTTACTAAAGACAGAATATGCACATTGCAGGTGACATGAACTGCCTTGGGCATCATTCCATGGGGTACATCAGAGAGAGCCTTACACATATGCATGGCATTGTCAGACAGAAATGCTGAGATCTTGTTAAATTCTAAGTTGTAGTTGACAGCTGCCTTCACTACAGTCTAAGCCATGGTAGAAAAATTGACAGATATGAGGTGGACTGGCTCTGTTTGAAAAATAGGCAGGTCTTGGTCTGTCCAGCTCCCAGGTCTGAATAAAATGTGCAGCCCATAGTTATCTTGAGGGTCAGTGGCTTCATCAGCCACAATGGAGAAGGATTCATATTCTGCCAATACAGACTGTAGACATTTGAAGTAATCACTGTAGGGAGATGGTCTTGGCGAAACTTGTTTGCACACAGAAAACTGCCAGCATTTGGCATATTTTGGTTTGGGTAGTCCCTTAACTTGGGGTGATCAAATTTCTCTGGATGTTCACTGCTGTGAAAGCCTCCACAAGGGAAAATGCCGCTGCTTGCCTTGCCAAACTGCTTTCTGTGGTTCTTTAAAAGAGCAAGGACACAGTCACTTGTTTCTTGCCTTTACCTTCAGCCTCTGCAGTGGCCTTTTGCTTCATGTACACTTTGGACTCTAAATGTCAATCTGTAGTGGTTTTCCTTGATATATCCAGGGACATGCTGTAGGTGGTACAGAACAGTCTGCCTCTGTGTGCAAGGTACCTACAGGATATTGCTTTACGTGGTCCAGAGCTGAAATGTATTCTTCTTGTTATTCATCCCGCTTAGTCCACCTCCAGCTGCAGTATACTGCAGCAGCATGTCTTTGGCTGTTTAAAACATAGCTCCAAAACCCTGCTGCTTTCCTGACTGGTCCCAGACTGGTGACTGCTGAGCCTGTTACAGGCTCAGCCTCACTTACTGCTTCTCACTCCCCTCTTTCCTGCCTCCCCCCCGCGCCAACCTATGCTCCAAGAGTGCAGGGTTTCCACCCTTTTCTCTGCTTGATGGTTCATGTTTTTTTCCCCTTTTATTTGCAGTGAGCCTGCCAAAATTGTGGCATCCACTTTTTTCACAGAAAATACCTTATTTTGCGTTTTCCACAAAAAATGTGAAATTGCGATTTTTGGGTCCCTACTAATAGGGAAGAAAAGACTAGCCAGTGATACAGACACAGCAGTGATAGGCAGCAACTTGAATAGTCTGCATGCTTTCCAGCATAGGGAACAAACCTTCAGATTCCTTGAACTTGTACTGCCAACCTCTGTTACAAACTACATGCTTGTGCACAGACTTGCTTTTGCGATTAAAATGACTTTGGAATGGTGGCTAAGGTTGCTGTATGGGCAGTAACCTAAATCTGAATAGTGGATGGTAGATAAGGCAAGGGAATTCATTGTCTTTATTGAATTCCCAACGTAGACTAGGGTGCATCTAATAAAAAATTAATTTGGGTTATACAGTAATCGGAGATTATTGGGAGTTCAGTGTCATTGAACTAGTCAAAAAAAATGAGAGAGAACAGTAAACTGATCATAAAACATTTTTCAGCTTCTTTGTTTAGTGAGCCACAAAATTTACACATGAAATAACTGAATATATATATCCTATTTTTCAATCTTGTTTCCATTTTTACTCCCTTGTGTTTGAATTAACTGGTTCCTGCACCAAAAATTAAAAACACCTTGCTCTCAACATGTTTTTGGAGAGCTTAATGTGATAAGGCCATAATTCAATTCATTGTTAGTATTCCTGTGTGAGTTGTCTATATGCTGAATAGCTTCTGAAAAGCTTATCTTAACCCTTTAAACTTACTTGTATTAAATTATTTTAATGTTTAATGTAATTATTTAGGTACCTACTGTAGAAATGTGAACCCTTTATTGGAACAATTGTATTAGGCTGCAATCCTATTGCTTATTTAAAAAGCAGTTTGAGATGAGTATTTCTTTATCTTGTAAATGAGGCAAAAGAGTAAACTCAAAATATTGCAATATAGAAATGAAATGTTACATTTTTCTGCAAACCAGGTTCCAGTTTTAAACAGCTGGAGGATTTTGTGTGAGATGCCCAAGTCATTCTTATGCACAGCAGCTGGGTGCTGTAACTTGGGAGAATGTTCTAATGGGCATTTTGTTCTGAATTGGGAAATTTGGAGCTCTGTAGGTACATTATTTAGAGTGCATTTAGAATGTATTTTTTGCTCTGAGGAATTCCACATCATTCTGAATGTTCTTTGATTTCTTCTCAGAATTTTTGATAACTAGTAGGCAGCTCAATATTTTTTGTCATGCATTTTCCCCTTTCTTTGCAGTAATTGGGGCACTGAAAATGATGAGAGTCAGGCTTACCATAATGGCAACTCAGACCCTCGAGGATTTGGTATGTTTTCTAGAAACTACAGGGCATTACAGCAATGTTTCTTTTTTTCAGTCTTTGATACAGAACCATCAGTATCTCATAGGTCCTTAGAAAATGTCTATATAAAAGTAAATGGTACAATTATGCTGGAATTCTCTTACAAGATTATTCTGGGACACTATATACAATGAAATGCAAATTCTATATATGGATGTACTGGCTGAGCCTTATAGGTTAGTTTGAAGAAAAACATAGTAGTTTGCAGATGTGAAAGAACTTTGAACATAGAATGTTTCCTGTATGCAATATCTTGATTGCTTAGGAAATACATTGTGGGTATATAGTGTCCCAGAATAATGAGCTATGTTTCTGAATAGTACTGTGTACAAATTTGGTTTGCTTGCTATTAGAGTCAGTGTTTCCTGAAAAATAAATTTGAATGACATCTAATACTAATATTATTTGGTTGTTCCCAATGTTGATACCAAGTTAAGGGTCTGTAACTTGAAACCTGATTAAAATACAATGAGTAAAAAGCAAAACATATCATATATTTTTTTTAAACAGGAAGTGACTTTCTATTCATATGTATACATGACTAGAATTTAGCCTTGGGCTAAAGGAGAAGGTGTAGAGGAATTCTGTGACTTGATATTCTGAGTGTTTGAAAGGTCACTAACTAGTGTGGCTTATCAAATATAGGTTTCAAACCAGGCCTATCCAGTTTAACATTTAGTGTTTCTGAACTGATTCCTAAATGTGGGAACAAGTGATTACTATGCTTTGCTTACTGCTAAGCTAGCCTTTATAAACATAGCATTATTGTTAAAATCCTTCCTCTGCTGAATTGAGTAACTACAGAAAAATTCTTCCCCATATCTTTTTTTTTTTTTTTTTTATGAATACTTTCATTTGGCCTGTGAGTCTTGTTTTTTTTCTTCTTCTACTTTAGTGACACAGTTCTGCATTATAGAATTAGAGTATTCTGTAACATTTGACTTTTTTCAGTCCTTATCAAATGGCTGGCTCTTTTGCAAGGGGAGGGAAGGGTTGGGGGTGGGGAGGCTAGAAGTAAAAATATCCAAAGAAAAATGATATAACCCTAAATGCATTGTTTCCAAAAACTTAGAACACGCTTTCTTTGAAAAAACTATATATTCAGATATCTCATTTAAAATATAGCTTGGAAATCTTTTGCATATAGTAAGGTGCTCAGTACATTGTTGACTACTCTGTAAACAATCTGTGTATACTGTACTCGCATATTTGCTGTGTAACCTGCTTGTTGTTGCACAGGTCACATTGGAATTGCTGTCCCTGATGTAAATGCAGCTTGTAAGAGGTTTGAAGAGTTGGGAGTGAAATTTGTGAAGAAACCAGATGATGGTAAACCTTCATCAAAATCATGTTTATCCTTTTGATGCGCCATGTTTGTTTCCTTGTTCTACTAGACTGTGAATTAAACTTTCTTTTGTGTATTTTTAAGGAGGCAGGCTGAATGGTGCAGATATTTAGTAGGGTCTGTTACTAGTTGGCTTGTGCTAGAGTCTATCCGTTTTGTTCTCTTTTATACAATAGGAAGAATCTAGTTTGTCTGACAGTTACAGTTGCAGATCTGATCAGCTGTCTGTATACTTGCTGTAGAAATTACCTTTGTTTGCACTTCGGGCTGCTATTTATGCTTTTTGTTGCTATCTCAGTTGACTACATATATAATTGCTTCTATTTCTCAAGAGTTTTATGAGACAGTTATCTGTATTAGTCTCAAGCCAGGCAGAATGTAGGGCAGGGTGGCACCTTGAAACATAACTAGTTCAGAGAAGTGTGAGCTTTCGCTGGCAGCAGCATTTGAGGAAATAGACTTCATAGAATGTTGTATACCTGAATCAAAGGATTGAGAAGCATGGTGGCAATGGTTAAGCATAGTTAAAATCCACAGACTTGAGTTTGAGCCCTGCGCCAGACTTGCACCAAAGGCTGCTCCAAGATGACCCAGCTAAATAGGTACATTTGGACTTTGCAGTCAAAGGACCCAGACATGATGCTAACCATAATGCTGCCTTGCATAGTGTTGCTATAAAAACTGATATACATTAACCTGATGATGAACACTACTGGGCCACCTTGTTTTGCGAAGAGTTGGGATCTTTTAAATTATGGGATTGCTGCCAGTGTACCTTGTGGGCCAAATTCACTTTTAGCTTCTACATTTGCCTTGTTTTATCATCCAAGAAATATAGTTTTCAAGACCAGAAATACTCCAAAAATGGGGAAAATCCTGCTACTTGTCTGAGTTTCCCTGGCTCTAGCGCACACCCCCACTCCCATTCTGTGTATGCCAAACCTGGGCCATGCGAAACTGCCCAGAGAGCATCTTCTACTGCCACTCTTTGATGTGCTTGATAGCAGGAGAAGGGTGGCATCACTGGCTCATTTCTAGGTTTGGCTCATGTGGGATGTGCTTTCAGGAATGCTGTGGAAGTGGTATATGCATGTCCTCAGTTCTCATATGATTACAGAAATATCAAAGGGGGCTATAATCTGAGTTAACTAAAGGTGTGCATTTAAATCAGATTTATTAAAATTTGTGGACCTTCTTTTTTGGATTAAAATTGTAATTGGAAGTTAATTTAAATAAATCCTAAGTAAATAAAGGCAGAAGGAAGAGCAGGTGGCACCTTACAAACATAAGCTTAGATAGGTGACAGCCTTCTTTGTCAGGTACTATGAATGGACTTGCAGTGAACAGGGGTTCTAAATAAAAAGGAATAAAGTGATTTTTAAATACAAAAGATAGGGGGAGAGCACTGCTGAGAGAGTCCTTATCTGCAAACTTATGCTTTTCTGAATGAGTTAGTCTCTAAGGGCACACATACGCATGCAGAGAGGCTACTCTTAAGTGCTGTAATTACAGCGCATTGGAGCAAACTCTATTAATAAAGTCTGCTAGAGTGTGGTAATTACACATGATGCTGGAGTCTGCTGGAGCACAGTATCAGCATCCCTGTGCTGAGAAATGGTGGTGGGGGCACTTTAACTAAAGCTTGTTTGAGCTTTAGTTAAAGCCCCCTGCTGCCATTTTTCAGTGCAGGGACCCTGATGCACATGATGATCTGGGGACTTCAATTACAGCAGCTCTGAGACCTGCTGTAATTAAAGTGCCCTCCCCGACTCCTGGAGCATGTCTATAAAAGCCCTACGGTTTCACCCTGCCCTGCCTTCTGCTTGACTTCAAGCTAACACAACTATCTCTCTAAGTAAATAAAGCTAAACCTAATTAAGGCCACTAATTTTGAATGAGTGACTACACAGAAGTTTTATGTCTTCACCTAATCTAATTTAAAAAATCATTTGAATTAATTTCCCTGAGCACTGCTGTATAGACAATTTCTGTTTGACATTTTATTTGAATTGCTTTCCTCTTTTTTGTCATGCCAGAGGGAGAGAAAACATTGAGACACATCTGTGTAGTTTTCTTATTTATGAATCTTGATCTCTAAAGGTTTTTTAAGATTATTTTTTGGTATATCTGAAATTTTTTTTTTTTTTTTAATTTTAGGTAAAATGAAAGGACTTGCATTTGTACAGGATCCCGATGGCTACTGGATTGAAATTTTGAACCCTAACTACATGGTGACCCTCACCTAGGCTTGGAGGAACATACTGAACAAAATTTGACCTGTGTTTTCAACTTCCCAGTGAACGCTTATAACAGTGTACTGTAATAAGATTTATGTTTCATTGGGAAGAATTAATTGTGCCCACAGGTTTATTCTTTTGCAATCCTGTTAGAGACTTTTTCTGCTTGAGTTTCCTTTTCCTACTTGATCTTGTTTTGTTTTTTTTTGTGATGCCCATGCATTTTGCTTCTAACTGGGAAAGCACAATTCCAGCTGTTCTGGAAGTGCCCATACATTCTTCCCTTCAAGGTTAATTGAGGCAAGCTGTATTCATCAGCCAAAATTTCAAGAATATTTAAATCCAGCCTGAGACCTTTTATTATTGTATTGGGATATTCAGCAAAGAAATCACTGCTTTTTAATATTATTTAAATCCACCGCCAGGAGTAACAACTTGATTGTTTAATGTGATAAAGGGGAGAAAATATCTGAAATTAGTAGTTTGAGAAACTAGAAATAGAAATTTGAAGTCTTTGGGCCCTATTTCACTTTTATTGAAATTACTAGAAAATTCCATTTGACTTCAGGATGAGGAGGACTTGCACTTTCCTATTTGTAATTGTCATGGTTAACGGTAGACTTTCAGGAGCAACTTGTAGATATGCAAGTTATCTAAGCCTAGAAACTTAGCAGCAGTGCCATTTTTAGTGCAGTATGGAAAATTCATTTTGCATACTTTTGAGTGCTGTGGCTGCTGACTGCAGATAGATATAGAAGCTTCTATGACCCTCAGCTCAAAAGGTCCCAGTTATCTATTCATTAGCTGAGTATTGCAAAGAGCACATACCTCCTAATCTGTTACTGGTTGGGAAGCTGGAGCTTTGTTTTTAAACAGCACACTTAAAATTTATCCAGGTACAGTTGGGCATAGAGGGGTCTAACTAACTGAAACCCTAGTAGTGTCTAAACCACCTGCTGTTATAATCCACTCTTAATCTGCCTCTTAAAATGTAAAAAGTAATAGTTGCAACTTCATTGTAGTTGTAAATAACAAAAAACATTTCAGGTTTGCAAATCTTACAGAAGAGGGTTTGGGTTTAAACAGTAATTTTAGAGTATATAGGGCACAACATAGGTTATGAAATACTTTAAACCAAACAAATGAACAAGACTGCTTTGATAGTTGGTGCATTTCAGGAAACACTTTCTAGGTCCCACTGATTGAACAACCCTGAGTAATGTGACTGGTAAACTGGGTAGCAGTGTAGTATCAAAAAATATTTCTATCTAAATAAAGCATCTGTGAAATCTTCGAAGTCTTTCTTTGCAGCTCTTTGACACAGCATTTCACACACAGTGAAACTTACCAAACTGAAAAGTTTTCTTCTACTCAACAACAACAAATAGTGGAATAATTTAAAGGTCTAGAATCTCAGTTAAGAGGGCAGAGAAGTCTCTGCAAATGAGAGGTTGTCGGCTACTTACAAATTACAGTAACTCAAAAATTACATAGTCATAACTAGAAACCTACTGAAATTGAGGAGGCTGGTGGACAATTTTGCAGGCAGATCACGAGGCCGACTGCCATTTTTGCCGATTTATCGTGGTGGGACCCCACTTCGCTTCTGGCCAAGTGGCCCAGTAGCCTCACTGTTGATGTGGTTGAGAGGGCCACCTGCCCCTTGCCGCTGATTGGCGGAGAGAGATGGGGTTGCATGATAGGCAGCCCTCACAGCCAATCACCAGCAAGGGGTGGGGGTAGCCACTATCTTGGCTGCTCCCCATCTTACTGGCAGCTCCCCCTGCATGGCCAGTGTGCTGTGTGGCTGGACCTCATCAGCCATAAGGACTGCTGACCCCCATTTTATTTTTAGTAAGGTGTTTCTTGTTTGTTTGGGGTTGGGGTTTTTTTGCAGATTTCGCTGACAATGCCTGACTTTGTGATTTCACCAAAAGTATGAATTGAGTAGGTCCTTAGTCATAACACCTCTCAATAGCAACTCCTGCTGTAATACTTCTCATGGGCCATATAAGTGAAAGTAGATTTGGGGAGGCAAGTAAAGTTGCTTTGATTTTGATTTTTCTGTTCAGATTCACAGATGCAGAAAACCAGTCCAAGGATCAGCAGGGGGAGAGGAAAGAATTCACACCTGTAATAATAGTTACAAAAATTAATTAAAGTTAACGTTTTAATCTTTTATACTAGGAAACAATAAAACAAGATTATTGGTAGCTAACAGTTAAACAAACCACCTAGATGAACCCTGATAGCTGCAAAAAGAGCATTCAGAGGAAATGAGAATTTTCTGAAGAACCTTCAACCGGCATAGTTTAGTTGTATGCTTACTTTGACAGAAAACAAAAGCCCAATGTTTTGGCAGGCCTTTATGTTTGGCAGGACAGTTTTGTTGTCCCTTTCCATTCTGAATCCTTTATTTTTATGATGCACAATATTTTTGCTATTTTTCAGTAACAAAAGCTCCTGGATCAAAAAACTTAATATTATTTTAGGAAGTGACATGATTATTACAGCTGGGGGAATACAGAGAGAAGGTATAACACAAGAAAAGGAGGGATTGAGACTCCTCAGAGCTTCAAGTCTTTCTTTTTCTGTTTTGTGAACAGGATTATGGTGGTTTAAGTTGGAAAAATACAGTTTAGGTTGGCCCTAAATCCTATTCCCAACAAAACTATCATAGTCTGATCACTCCAGCTGGTTTTGCACACACTTGTGTCCCTGTAATAGTGCTGCTATACTGAGAGCACCGCCCAGTTCCTACTAAACTAGTCTGTCGAAAGTGACAATGGGGGCTGGTTCTTTACAAAAATCCTTTTTAAATTAGCTGAAACGGGCATTTTTTTTGTCCTGACATTTCCAAGATTTTAATGCTTGCATTGGTATATAAAGACCAATAGTTGTGTCAGTGGTGTGTGGAAATGTCTAGAGGGAACTAACTAACTCTCTGCTAATAAAAGGAAATCAGGGTTGTGAGTAAAACCTTCCATCAAAACACAAAATTGTTAATGTCTCAACATTAGATGCTTCTGAGCATAGTTCTCATTGTATGTGTACTGTTCTCAGGTAACGTTTCATCAAAACTGGCAGCACTAAAGATAAAAGCAGAGTTGCATGACTGGATATGCTATTGAGTAATTGTATAGGAGACCTATAATTAAATAACTGAATAATATAACAAATGGGGTGAGATGCTTCCATGAGGCATTGAATGAGCAGGGGTAGTAGATAAGCAAACTTGGTGGTTGTTCATTTCACTTGTAGTCTCTGTCCTTTCTGTGCAAATGTTTGACACAACGTTCTGTGGTCCGTACTTTTGAATGACTGATATTCATGTAAATGGAAATATAACTAAAGGGATGGTTGAGGAAATGACTGCTGGCAGCATCAGACTATTAAATAATTTCTGCAGGGAGGCAGAGAGCCTGTCATCTCCATTTTATGGAAAGATACAAAGTCTTTAATTTGGCCCAGATCCTAGTGTTACTGTAGAGAAAGTGGGAGATTGCTCATTTGAATTTTGAGGGGAAAGTTATTAAAATGGAAGTGATGACAAACTACCAAAAGCCAATAAAAGCTACACTCATTGTGGTTTTGAGCTAATTATAAAAATGTATTATTAATTTATATATATTTTAGCATTTAACACCTTGAGAACAGTTCATAAATTAAGCAGTTTATTTGTGATAATAGTAAAAAATAAATACTTTCCACTCCTCTCTTTTTCTAGCCAGCAGTATAGATTTCTTAAAAACAGAAAATAAAGTGATTTACTACTAACATTTTTTTTATGAAAAATTCAATCCATTGATGCTTACTTTTACACCTATTTTTCCCCTTTTCTGAGTAGATATTAATCTTGCATAATTTTCTAGAAGAATGCATTGAATTAAATATGTGAAGCATGCCTTGCATTCTAAAGCTTGTTTAACTTTATACCAGCTATGCAGTTAGTCCAATAAAACATATCACCCACAAAAATCCTTGCCTCTTGAATTAAATGCATCATTTACACAGCCTTTCTACTTTAAGAAGATAGATTTTTAATTTTTATCTGTTGCCCACATGCTTCAAAAGAGCTAAGTGTGAGGCACCAGTCTGATTATAGCTATGAAGAGATGATGTATTCAGGTTGTGTTCCATGTTCCTTGTTCCCAGGTTCTCTGAAATGTACTATGGAGGTTGGGCTGCTTTTAATCCCAGTCTTAAAAATTGCTTAAATAGTATGAGCACCATTGGCATATACAATAGTCAGAGCTCAGCTGTTTCTGATCTTTGTCTCCGCTGGTAGTTAGACACCTATCCAGGACCATATTTATGCCCATATCACCTGTTTGCCCAAACTGTTATCTCTCAAACTGCTCAATTTAGGGGTGAATAAACACGTCATGTTCAACAAGCCTCTACATGTGACCATTTGGCAGCGTAGCCCTCTCCTACAGTATATGAATGCAAGAAGTAATGTCATTAGGATCCTACAATTCCCTGTTTTATGCCACTCTTCCTCTGCCTTCTACTCTGGATCTGGTTTGTGCTATGTCATCCTCTATTGCAGTTCAATGAGTGGTTTGTTTTATTGTTTTTGCTTCGTGGCCTTTTTCAAAGTGATTAGCAAAGCGCTGTGTAATGCCTACTCTGCTGTTAACAATATGACCTGATGAGATGTTAGGTGGTCAGATCAACACCCCACCACAGTGAGGGAGGAGTGCGGCAGGGGTGTTGGGGTAGATGCTGCCCAGCTGGGTGGGGTGGGCATGGGACGGAGCTGTGGCTCATCTGAGGGGTGGCGGGGAGGTCAGCTCCCACCACTGTGCGCCCCCTGGGGGGGGTGCCCCCAGATCTGCGTGGGGAGGGGCACAGGCTGCAACTGAGCTGGAGCTAGGGCTGCACAGGACTCTTCTTGGCAGGGGCTGGGCTTGGGGTGTGGCGGCGGCACTGGGAGAGGGGTTATGGGGGTCCTGCAGCCACCCCAAATTTTGCCATAGCCCAGTCCCAGCACCACTGCAGCCCGCCCCAAGCCCAGCCCTTGCCTCCACCCATGTGTCAGGAAGAGCCGGGGTTCAGTAAGGCACATGGTGGCAGTGCTGGGACCAGGCTATGGTGAAACTTGGGGTGGCTGCAGCCCCCCATTGCCCCCTCCCAGCACTGCCACTATGCACCCTGAGCCCAGCCCCTGCTGAGAAGAGCCTAGTGCAGCCCTGGCTTCAGCCCACAGCTGCAGCCTGCCCCCGTCCGTGCAGATCTGGGGGGCACACTCCTCCCCATGCTCTCCTGGGGTGTGTGCAGTGGTGGGAGGTGCCCCCTGGACGAGCAGCAGCTCCATCCCACTCCCACCCTGCCTGCTAGGAAGCATCTGCCACTGCTTCACTCCCTCCCTCATAGCAGGGGGCATTGATCTGCCCCCCACCCCCCTTTCACCACAAGGGACTCATCAGCTGCACGCAGCTCTCCAAGCTGCCGGGCTGTGGCGTCACTGCCCGCATGCTGCGCTGCGGTTCTGCGCATGCATGGGCGTTTATCAGCCGCATGGGGCCAATTTCCGATACAGCCAATTTTCTTTATACCAGTGCCAATCTGATATCGGACCAACGTATCAGTGCAGCTCTAGTGAGAACTGCAGCCTCCTGAACCCTTTCCACCAACTCCACCTTCCCCCTTTCTTTTGAAGCAAGTTTTGGTGTAAGGAGTAATTTCTTGACTGGTGGCCAATTTGTGCAGAGTTGGGGAGCTTCCTCAGAGTGCAGTCAGATTTAATTTAAGATGTAATTGGATTTAATTTAATCATAAGCCTATATATAGGTTTATGATTTGTTTTTTCTGTCTCCTCATGGTCAGCAACAGGACAGGACAGGGAAAACAATTCTAGCCCACTAGTGAAATTGCATCTGCAATTTAAGCGTTACATGGTTGCACGTTTTTTCACTTAAAAAAGATCCAAATGGTATTTTCAACTCCTTTTTTACCAGCCACACAAGCAAAGCGCAATGAGTGATTTCCCCTAGCAGTGTAGCAACGTGGCCCAGTTGCCGCTGCCATCGCAATCATGTGGCTGCAGCAAAAGCCATATTTTTTTTTTGCTCCACGCCGTCATTGGCGCCTGTCACTCTACTCTAGTTACGCCCGTGCTTTCTGCACAAGGACATATTTTGTAGCCTGAGTAATTTTCACCGAAGGCCGACATGCAGAGTTGTTAACATTTGCTCTGTCCTGTCCTAGTTTGCCTGGGTTGAAAGCTGCCCCGGAGGGAGCTGTTTCTTGGCAGAGTTCCCACTGACCAGTCAGTGCCTGGAGACAAATCAACAAAACCCCCGTGGCAGAGTCCAAGCCCTGGTTCTTGCCCCATCACGCAGGGCAGGGCAGGGCAGCCTGTGGCGTGTCAGTGTGTGCCTCGGAGCCTCAGGAGAGGAGGGGTGCTGGGGGGGGGGGGAGAAAGCTAGAGAGAGAGACCCCTGAGATCAAGGAGATGGAAGGCAGGGCAGGGAGCAGATAGTAGAGCAGCAGATCAGGACTGAGCACAGGCAGGAAGCAAGGCAATAGATTGGGGAGGAGAAAGCAGAGCAGCCGATCAGGCAGGGAGCTGGAAGCAGAGCGACAACGGCAACGGGGCAGGGAGGGAGGCGAAAGAGCAGCAGCTCGAGACTGAGCGCCGGGCAGAAAGCCGAGCAGCAGACGAGGGAGGGAGCAGAAAGCCGAGCACCAGGCCAGGCAGGGAGCGCGGGGCAGCACGAGGCCCGCCCTCTGGGCGTTGCTACAAACGTCAGCACGTGGGGGGCGCGGCTGTCGTTGCTACGTGGCGTCAACACGCACGGTGACGTAGCGGGCGGTGGCACACGGGGTGGGCGGGGA